GAGTGGCTTTCATGAGCCCAGTGCCCCCAAAACTGTCCCTGTCTGAATCCTGCGTCATTGTGAGAAGCACACAAGAGACTTGGAGATGAAAGAAACACTGAAGTGCTCATGTTCCCTTGCAGCCACTGCTAATTCTGTTTTCTCAGGTGGTCACATTGTTGCTGTATCTGACTTTGGTCTGTTATTTCTGTGGAAAGCTTTCATATTACTTCAAGCAGTGCTTTAATTAATCCCTGGAAATGTATGGAGTTAACAGGGAATTCCATTGCAAAAAACTTCAGTAATGTCTGAACAATGCCTTTCCCATCTACACCCTAGGAAGCATCTGGGGCATAGCTTTGAGGGCCGTGTGGACAGTGGGCATAAAAGGGGAGGACATCCAAGAAAGTCAGTTCTTCCTTGGAGCAGCAGCTATTCTAGCTGGTTTTACCTGCTGGTGAGAAATACTTGCAATCTGCAGCTCAAGGGATAAGCTCAGCACTTACACCATTGCCTTGCAATGCAGTTCCACAGATGTTAGCATTACCCACAGGAGTGTCTCAGCTATTCTAACAGAGCTGTATGAATGCAAGAAACCCAAGACCAGGGGTCATCAGGAAGCTGCAGAACAACCACTACCCTGTCCTTTGGTTGTCTTGTGTTCCAGTCTGCTCTCAGGTGGTTGTATGTGGTTTTTTCCCTCCCCTGAGTGTGTTGATGACCAGGCGTGATGAGGCAAGTCCCACAGTTTCTGCTCTCCAAAATGCTGCCACACGTCTTACAAGTTAAAATTGCCGAGCGAAAATAAGATTAATGGCCATAGTAGAAGATACCTTTGAATCTTTCAGCCTGTTGTCTATGTTTGGAAAGCACCTTTTTTGAAGGTATAGTGACTCAAACTGAATTGGTTCCCTCACTAAGAGGGAATGAAATAACTTACCTTTGACCCTGCCACCAAAAGTATCCATAGATGTTTTTGAGGGAAGAGGCCTCATCTGTGAGCAGGCACTTACCCACCGCATGGGCTCCACTCTGTCTAGCTTTGATGAAAGAACTGGAATTTCACTTGATTTGTTATTAAAAATCGAGTTGAGAGATATCCCTAGGGCTTTTTGTTTGCATTTTTTCCTTGTTTGTGTATGTTAATTTCTATGCTCTGAAAAAAAGTGAAGTGAAAAGGAGGAAGAAATAAAATCCCACATGTATTTTCTCTCTACTCTCAGCAAAAAATTTATTTAATTTTCTTAGTAGATCTTGAACAAAAATCAGTGTAAATATTTCACTGATACTGTTTATTACTTCATTAAACTAGAAGATTTTTGGGTATTTCATTAGTTACTGCTTGGACAGTGAAGTATCTATTGAAGATTAAATCATACTCATTATTTGACTTGTACTTTTCATAATGCAGAGCTTGTTCTGTTGTGCTTTGAGTCCTCTGACATCTTTTATAGGTGTTGTTTTCAGATCTGACAGCTAATGAATAGTTTTTTCACTTTTTAGACGAGACAAGCTATGGATTTGCATGGAGTTTTGTGGAGGTGGCTCTCTACAGGATATCTATCATGGTATGTCAAGACTTTAATTCATTAAAATCCAATGAAAGCTTATTTTCAAAAATAGAAATTATTACAGTGTTTTGGAATTGGAGAGGAGGAATCCTAAGTTTAGTATCATAGAATTTAGTGGTTGGAATGGACCTTACAGATCACCTAGTCCCAACCTCCCCTGCCATGGGCAGGTACACCTCCTCACTAGATCAGGTTGCACAAAGCTTCACCCAGCCTGGCTTTGAACACTGCCAGGGTCAGGGCAACCACCACGTCCCTGGGCAACCTGGTCTAGTGTCTCACCACCCTTACAGTAAAAAACCTTTTTCTAATATCTAACCTAAACTTCCCCTCCTTCCATTTGAACCCGTTATCCCTTGTCCTGTCATTGCAGTTCCTCACAAAGAGTCCCTCTCTGGCTCCCTTGTTGGCCCCTTCAGATACTGAAAGGTTGCTATGAGGTCTCCACACAGTCTTCTCTTATCCATAATCATTCACTGAAGGTCAATTTTAGCTTATGTTTTTATGTAATTGGTTGGGTTTGTTTTGTTTTTCTTAAACAAAGTTAGCTGTAGTATTGAGGGTTTTTTAGCAGCAGAAGTTATTTCTGTCCTTCAGTAGCTGATAGAGTCTTTTCAAATACTGTAAAACTAGACAGTATTATATTGTAAAACTAAAAAATGTATGTCTTGATGTGCTGTCTTCATAGCCATTTTGTTTGAGTCGTTGAACAGAAACCTAGATAAGTGGATTGATTAGCACAGATGCTCTTGTCCTTTGTAAACAATGATTGCTTGTATGTTTGTACAGCAAAAGCTGTTTTTTATTATTTCTTTTTGTGCTGGATGTGTGACGTGAAAAGTAGAGGTGACCTATGTATTTGCTTTAGGCTTGGCTGCAGTGAGTGATTAGAGAAACAAGGGCCATGTGTGAGTCTATCAGATAAAGAGAGGATCAGTCAGTTGATTTGAGTGTTCCAAGTTTTCATGAGACAAAATCAGTTTTGAGGGATTTTACTGCCCTGGAATTAAGACTTGCTTAGGAAAGGAGTATGCTGTGAGTAATGGCTTTGTGGTTCTCAGGTGATGTTTTTCAGAGAGGAAATCCATATTCTAAATTGTGAAGATCTTATATGAGGATCTTCTCTGTGTAAACAGCTTTTTATGTTTAACTTGAGTGCATTTAAAATAAGGCACCAAGTCGCAAGTTCACACCATGCTCAAGGCATGGTCTTTCCTTTGTGGCCTTGCTGATCCTTTACATCTTCGGTAATGCTGAGAAAAGCAAAGACTTTTTTGTTTAATAGGCTTTGTTATGTGGAACACCTGTAGAGTAGGAAATGAGCTCATGTCACATAAATGCCTGAACAGATGTCGTACAGGAGTGGTTTCCTGTTGCAGCTGATTTTTGGCTTCTCTGCTACTAGTTAGAATGGAAGGCTCTTTTCTGATCTTAATTCCCTTCTAAAGAGTCTTATTCCAATTGAACTATTAGACCTCTGTGATCTTACGTCATTTAAGTTAAATATTTAAATTTCCCCAAACAAACATAAATGCCTACGTATACATACTATGGGTGCTAATATGTATAGTTTTGTGGGTTTGGAGCTTTTCTTTCAGAAAAGGGACATTGCATTTAGATTTGTTTTGAAGGTATATATTGCACAATACTAATATTATGGTTTTGTAGAAGCTAAGCAGTTAGATTATTTAATTTACTTGTGCTCTTAATGCTCTGCTCCCTTCAGTTTCCTTTGAGAAACTCCATCCAGCTTCTGTTTTTCTCTGCAAAACCTGAGAAGCTTGCAGTGGGGACAGCATTTCCTGGTCTTAAACCCCTTTAATTTCAGGATCAAAGTCCAGTGACTGGGGACAAGTCACAGGCCATTCCTTGCTTGCTGTTCACTTGTTTGGTTTTCATATGTGTTCAGAATTTGGTTGTTTTCCATTAAGTGAAGTTGGACCCTGGAGGGAGAGGAGGAGGACTCCTTCCCTTGGGAAACTTCTGAACCTGCTCACAGAGTGTGTTCGAGATGGTGCATGTGGCAGGCCCAGGAACAAGAGTGCTGGTAGGTCATTTCAGAAAAGGATTGAGAAGCTGGAGAGAGAAGGTTGCATGGCAGTAGGAAGGAGAGAAAGAGAGAGCAGGTCACAGGTGCTCCAAAGAACTTCTCAGGCTTAAAGGGGTTGAACAGTTTGCTGCAGTTCTGAGTCAGTGAGCTGGAAGTCT